CCCGCCCGCCCGGACACCGCGTCCCGGAGCCCCCCAGCCCGCCGCGGGGCGCACCATGCAGTGTCTGGGCGCCGAGTACGAGGTGAGCACCTGTAATCTGGCCGCGAGGTCGTGGCGGGGGAGGGGGGGTGGGGGCGAGGTGAGGACAGGGGCTGCGCCCTCCGCACCTGCACCTGCCTGCCCCCCCCGCAGGTGTGCGGGGAGCCGCCGGCCGGGGGCGGGGCCTCGGGTGTGGGGGTCCCAGGTGCGGACCCCCACACCTGCCCGGACCGGGGGACCCCCAGCTCCCTCCCTGAGCCGTTTTCCTGCAGATCGGGACTTTTTCTCAACCTGCACTTTCTTTCTTTCTGGAAGGTTCCTGCTGAGAGAACTCCCAGGCCGCCGGCCTGGCGACCCCAGCTTTATCGGAAATGCACGGACACGGCATGGCTGGTCCTGTTCTTTCTCTTTTGGACTGGTCTGGTAAGTGTGTGTGCGTGTGTGTGAGTGTGTGTGCGTGGTCTCAAGTCTCAAATGTCCATCGCTCTAAGTTTGTGATACAAAACTTCTGCCATTCACTCAGAAAAGCTAGTCCCTGGGAATATTTTCTCTGTCTGTCTGTCTGTCTGTCTGTCTTATCTATTTTGGTAATACTAGGGTTTGAACTCCCAACCTGGAGCTTGCCAACCATGCAATTTGCACTTAAGTTCCAGCCCCAGTCTTGGTTTTTTTTTTTTTTCTTTTCTTTTCTTTTTTATTTTAAGTTGTCTTGCAAATAAGGTTTTTCCTTTCTGCCCTTAGCTGGCTTAATTTCATTCCCTTTGCTTGTAGCCTGTCTCCCCCCCCCCTTCCCTCCCTCCCCTCTTTGTTGTAGCTGGTATGGCAAGGAACAACTAACTTTTGTGCCTTGTTAATTGAGATGATATGGAGAAGAAAAAACAACTTCTCAAGGCTGGCCTCAAATCTCCATCCTTCCAATCTCCACCTCCTGAAGAAATGAGCTTCTAGACCTGAGCCACACGCCAGCCCTCCCGGCCCCCCTTCGCCCTGGCAGCCCTAGAGAATTCTGGTGTGGTCTGTCTTCCCTTTGGCTTAACTGGAGAGACTGTTCTTGCTGCGGGCCAAAGTTTCCTGACTAAGCCCTTGCTCTGTTAGGAGAGGTTCCGGGGATTGTTAGTAGTTCGAGGGGCCCATGTGAATTCTCTCATTATCTGAGCTATCTGAGTGGAAGTTCATTTACCCTCTGCCACACCCCTAGGTCAAACATCCCTCCAACTTCTGCCGATCTCTAACAAAGGCCAGCTCAGAGCGGACAGCTTTTATTTGAGGCGAGCTGCACGCGCGTGCTCTGTGGTAAAACAGGTTGAACTAGCTCTGCGTGTGCTCCCAGCTCCCTGGGGTCCTGCAGCCCACTCGGTCCTGAATGGCTGTGGAAGCCGAATCCTGACTCATTTCATCTTTATATGAGGGCTGTGGGTACAGCAGACATGTTCACTCAGCCTTTTTTCAAAGGCCACATTTATAAAACCATCTAGGCCTGGTTCCGGCTGTTTGCCACATGGTCAATGATTAATTCATGAAGCCTGATAATCACCACCAGAGAGTGATGGCCGTGGTGGAGTAGCCTCACCTACCTATACGTTCATCCTTTCCCAGTGGCAAAGGCACCTGCTGATGTCCCGGACTGGCTTGGCACAGACAGATGTGGTTGTGACAGTCCAGGACCGAAAGGCATGCTGGGTTTTGCTAGTGCAGCTCCAGCTGTGGCCTTTCAGAACCATCCCGGAGGAGGTGCGGGGCACCTGCCACACATCTTGCTGCCCTGCCTGCCCACAGGGGCCTGGCTGTTTGTGTGTGCTGTGGCACACGTGCGTGGAGTGGCTGTCCTGCCCAGTGCGTGCAGCTTTGGCCTGGAGCTGTTCTTGTCACTTGGTGGTTGTCACTTGCCTGCCTGAAGCTGGGTGCATGGCTTGCCTTCATGGCCTGGGGGGTTGAGGCCCAGCGGGGACATGGCCTGGAACTGGAGAGAGCTTTACAATTACAATTACACTCATCGTCTTCACTGCTTTGCAATAACCTGAGTTCTTTCTGAGCCATTCATTGGTTCTCGTTGTGAGCCTCCCGTGATGTTTCCACGATGCGCAGAACAAAGCATTTCCTGTGTCTCCACTGCTGCACTTCTGATCTTGTAATGGACATCCTGCCATTGGTGGGGCTGTGACCAGTTAGTGCTGAAAACGCTAGGGAAATTGCTAGAACTGTGAGCCGGGGTGTCCAAATAGAAAGAGCACCAGCCTGTGCTTATATTTGCATCTAACGCATAGAGCAGAAAGCCTCAAACTCCGAACCACCTCTGCCTCAACTTACCTCCCTAGTAATCCTCTTCCAACCTCCATTTTCCTTCCTGGTGGCCATGTCACTCTGGGACATGCATCTCGGGTGTCACCTCTTATATGAAATTGCCCTTGCTTCGGTTGGTTGGTTTGTCAGTCACGTGGCTTGAACTCAGAGCCTGGGTGCTGTTTCTGAGCTTTTTCACTTAAGGCTGGTGCTCGATCACTTTGAGCCACAGTGCCACTTCCAGTTTTTCTGGTGGTTAATTGGACAGAAGAGTCTCAGGGACTTTGGCTTTGAACTGTGATCCTCAGATCTCAGCCTGCTGAATAGCTAGAGTTACAGGCATGAGCCACCGACGCCCAGCACCCTTGCTTGTTTGACAGTCAGAGAAATAATGGTTTCCAGTAATAACCGTGTGGTAAGGACTCAGGAAAACCTACCTTCCTCCCACTGAAACCTTCCCATTCCTCAAGTTTTCCAAAGGAGATATTTAGTACAGAATGGTGATGTATGGAAAATGTCACTTCGTGAGGAGATCCCTGGAGAGCTGGCCAGAGACACAAGGCTAACCTACCCTGAAGCCCGCAGGTCACGTGCTCCAAGGAGGCGGCCACAGCAGGACAGGGTCAGCACAGCATGTCTGCCACTGGGGCTCCTAGGAAATCCCACTCACCACACAGCCTTCAAGTAAGGAGCAGCGACCACTCTCTAAAGTCAGGCGGAGCGCAGAGGAACCTCCTTCTCCAGGAGGCCTGGAGGAGACAGGCCAGCTCCCAACTTAAGACAGGGACTGGGATTTGTTCAGCACTTTGTCCCCCAAAAACAAGAGTCTCTGCTACACACACTGGGCATTTGAAAAAAAATTTTAATTTCTGTTATGAATACAGACGATGCAAAGATAGCACTATTGATATATTATATATTGATATACATATTATATATAACAAGTATACATTATTAAAGGCATATCATATGTTATTGGATGATGGACTGCAATGAACATGTCAGCACCAAGCTATTCTTTTTAATTTTTTTCTGTCAGTTGTGGGGCCTGAACTCTGGGCCTGGGCGCTGTCCCTCAGCTCTTCAGCTCAAGGCTAGTGCTCTACCACTTGAGCCACAGCATCACTTCCGGCTTTTTCTGCTTATGTGGTGCTGAGGAATCAAACCCAGGGCCTTATACATGCAAGGCAAGCACTGAGCCACCTTCCCTGCCCCCTGAGTGCTATTCTATACACTGTCAATTGGTTGTTTTTGCCAGGCACAGTGGCTCACACGTGTAATCCTAACTACTCAGGAGGCTGAGATCTGAGGATTAGTTCAATGCCAGCCCAAGCAGAAAAGTCTGTGAGACTCTTATCTCCAGTTAACTATCAAGAAGCTGGAAATGGATTTGTGGCTCCAAGTGGTAGAGCTCAGGGACAGTGAGCGCCTGGGCCCTAAGTTCAAGCCCCAGAACCAGCAAAACAAAAAAGGAAGAAGAAAGAAGGAAGAGGGAAGGAGGACAGAAAAGGAAAGAAGGACTATAGGGATGGAAGGAAAGAAAGAAAAGGAAGGAAGAAAAGAAGGAAGGAGGAAAGGGAGGGAGCAACTCAATATGGGCATAGGGCCTGGTGGTGCACATTGCTGGAACAGATGTGTTTGAACTGAGATTCAATCTTAGCTGGAGAGACTCGTTTCTTTCCTGGTTCATTTCCCATCAGCACGTCTGGGGAGATGGGGGGGGGGTGTGCTGTTCGCCCTGTGACCAGCCTTTGACCCCCTGTGTTTGGCTAGGTGTTCATCATGGGCTACTCGGTGACAGCTGGAGCCGCAGGAAGACTCCTTTTCGGCTACGACAGCTTTGGTAACGTGTGCGGCAAGAAGAACTCCCCGGTGGATGGAGCCCCCCTCTCTGGGCGGGACATGACCCTCAAGAAGTAAGTGTCTGAATGGTCTCCCACCTACAGAGAGGCCGTGTTCAAAACTTGGTGTAAATCCAGAGCCTGGAAGTGGTTTTCCTGTTTGAAATCCTGTTAGCGCATCTCATAAGGAGGCCTTGAGCGGAAGGGAGGTTCAGTTGTGTTTATAGAATCAGCCAGTCCTGGGTTCAGATTCAAGCCTCAGTGACTTTTCAGCTGTGAGATCAGAGGTCATGGGGCTTGAACTCAGGTCCTGGGTACTCAGGACTAACACTCTACCACTTTGAGCCACAGCTTCACTTTGGATTTCCTGGTGGTTAGTTGGAGGTAGGAGTCTCACAGACATTCTTGCTTGGGCTGGCTTTGAACCGTGATCCTCAGATCTCAGCCTCCTGAGTAGCTAGGATGACAGGTGTGAGCCGCCAGGTCATCATATCCTTTTCACAAGGTTGTTTTAATGAACCACTGAGAGAATACATTGTTTCCATTACTATTGGTAGTATATCCAAATCACAAGGACTAATGTGGATCCACTTCTATAGACAAGAAAATGGAAATAGAAAGCAAGCCCTGGCATGGGGTTGGGGAGAGAAAGAAGAATGAGCTATTCTTGTTTAATGGTGTGTGTGTGTGTGTGTGTGTGTGTGTGTGTGAGTGTGTGTGTGTGTGTGTGAGTGTGTGTGCATATGTGCAGACACATGTGCCAGTCCTGGGACTTGAACTCAGGGCCTGGGTGCTGTCCCTGTGCTTTTTTGGCTCAAGGCTAGTGCTCTACCACTTGAGCCACTTCCAGACTATACTAAGTAGTTTATTGGGAAATATGGTGGCTCACACCTGTAATCCTAGCTACTCAGGAGGCTGAGATCTGTGTATCACAGTTCAAAACCAGCCTGGGCAGGAAAAGCCGTGTAACTCTTATCTCCAATTAACCACAAAAAAACCGGAAGTGGCGCTGTGGCTCAAGTGATAGAGCTCTTGCCTTGGGCTGAAGAGCTGAGGGACAGCGCCCAGGCCCAGAGTTCAAGCCCCACAACCAAAAAAAAATAAAGTCTCATGACTTTCCTGCCCAAGCAGGCTTCAAACCATGATCCTCAGATCTCAGCCTCCCAAGTAGCTGGGATTACAGGCATGAGCCACTGGACACCCAGCTATAATGTCTTAACTTTTTTTCTGGGGGTAGGGGGTCCGGTCATGGGGCCTGAACTCTAGGCCTGGGCGCTGTCCCTCAGCTCTTCAGCTCAAGGCTAGTGCTCTACCACTTGAGCCACAGCACCATTTCCAGCTTTTTTCTTTTTGCTTATGTGGTGCTGAGGAATCGAACCCAGGGCCTCATGCATGCAAGACAAGCGCTCTACCACTGAGCCACCTTCCCAGCCCCAATGTCTTAACTTTTTGAACAAAATACAAACTTACAAATCAGTCAGGAAATCTGTTTTCTCCTCTCCTCTTGGACGGTCTACCTTCCTTCCCTTCCCAGTGGGGAGAGAATGGCTGCTAGCTCCTCACACTCACGAAGGTTCCGCCCATAGCAGTAGCCTACAGGGACTGGCTGGGCTATTCCTGTGGTGTCAGCAACCAGGATGAGCACTGGACCAGTAGCTGAGAGCTACCAGTGCCAGCCCATAAGCCCTGAATGCCAACCAGCAGCCTGGTTCTGTGGCACCATTCACCCAGCAGCTGGGTGACAGGAAGGTCACCTGAAGGTCGTGGCTCTTGAGCCACTTCCCAGCCTCGGCCCCTCCTTTCTTCCTTCCTTCCCTGTGTCTCTGTTCTTGGAGTATCTCTGGACCCTATTGGAAGTGATGCTGCTCAGCCAGGATTCTGTTGGGCTGCTTATACATGCGTATCTATAGCCCCTGGGTTGTTTGGCCAAGGCCTCTCTTCCTGGTGACTTTCTCAGATCATCTCCTGCTCTCTACCCCACCAAAAGGTCAAACCTAATAAAGGTATTTTCCTTGTGAATACTAGGTCAGGAGCTTTGGCAAGCACTCTAGCTCTTGAACCATTACCTCGTCCCTTCTCCTTTAATTTTTCTTTCACAAAAAGGTGTCACAAGTAACTTTTGCCCCAGCTGGCTATGGCCTTCTGGGTAGCTGGAACCACAGGTGTGCGCCACCACACCCAGCCAGAGTGGGAACATTTGAGTACAGGTCACAAGCTGCCCAACTCTGTAGCTGCCCCTGGGCTGGTATCACAGATACCCAGTGACACTGAGGCAGCCTGACACAGATCTGAAGCACCACTTCAGATCAATTGGAGCCCATGCCTTGAGACAAGCCTCTCTCCCACCCATCTCCTCAGACACGTGTTCTTCATGAATTCCTGCGACGTGGCAGTCCAAGGCAGGAGGCTTGCCTCCACTGCCCTCTGCGTCTCCAGCTGTCCCGAAGAGCAACTGGACACCTTGGAAGAGATTCAGCTCTTTGCCAACACCAGCGGTAGGCACCGAGGGACCAGCCCACACTCCCTTCACACCCCCGTGGCCCAGCAATTTGGAGGGACCCGGATGGATAAGTTACCCAGCACTGCAGTCTCTAGAAGGCTTCCAACTCTCCCTGCTTGCAGCTGCCTCTTCCTGGGTGGTGAAGGCCGTGTGTGTGTGTGTGTGTGTGTGTGTGTGTGTGTGTGTGTGTGTGTGTGTTTTAATTAGGAGCTTGTGCCATTTCATTCAGGTCTGTCGGGCTTTTCTAGAACCCAGTCTTCTCTGCAGGTGTTTTCTCTGGCTTCTGTGGAGGCCTTAAAAGGGAAGAGCAGACACTTAAAGCCCAATGGCTTTGGGCTGGAATGCTTATAATCAGATTCTCTGAATTAGATTGCCCAAATTCATTGAGTAACAGAGTAGTCTCAACTCGTTCTCAGAAGCATTTGTGTGCAACACAAATACAGCCAGACCCTTGCTGTGAGCCCACCGTTCAGATTCATATTATAAACCAACAAAGGAAAATTAAGGACATGTGGCACAACCTGCTGTGAATTTTATCTGCCTGAAATATGGAGTGCCAGATTCCAAGCTGTATCTTCAAAACTAAAGTTAAAATGATCAAGCTCCCAAAATATACTTTCTTCAAATAACTTCAAATTACGTTAGTGCCAAACACTCAGCTTTTAGCATTAAATCTGGATTTGTAGAAAGAGAGAAAGCATGAGAGAGAAGGAAGAGGGAGAAAGAGAAGGAGGGAGGGAAGGAGAACAGGAGAAAAGGAGGAAGGGAGGGAGACTCATTCCAACTCAACCTCAGATTGAATGTCTGGTCTGCTTTCTACAACTGTGTGATAGGGCCTATCTGAAATCCTTCAGTCTGTATATTTTCTGCTTCCAGGGTCTTTCCTGTGTGTCTATAGCTTGAATTTCTTCAACTATACCCAGAGTCCAAATGCAGGAGCACTGTGTCCCAGGCTACCGGTTCCTCCAAGGTAAGCACTTCCTTATCCTTCAGCCAGCTAGGCACTGGGGAAGCACAAATGGGATAGGAGGCTCAGCCCCTGCCCGCAGGGAGCTTACAATCTACAGAGCCAGGAGCAGACCGGGAAGATTATTTGTAATTTACACAATGGACAGTGACTAAATAAGGAGGAAAACTGTGAACAATAAAGATATGGGCAGTCCTCAAATAGCAACACTAGAGCAAGCAAAAGAGAATCTATGCACCCAATGATTGGTTGTGTAACTAGGGTATATATTATCTTCTCCAGTTATTACAAGGTAGTCTTCTACAGTTATTTGTTCATTGCAAATACACACAGGTAGTTTTTGAGTTGGTCGTGGAGTTTAAACTCAGGGTCTGACTGCTATCCCTGAGCTTTTGCACTCAAGGCTAGTGCTCTACTGCTTTGAGCTACAGCACCACTTCTGGTTTTCTGGTGGTTAATTGGAGATAAGGGTCTCGTGGACTTTCCTGCCCAAGCTGGCTTTGAACTGTGATCCTCAGAGCTCAACCTCCTGAATAGCTAGGCTTACAGGCATGAGCCACTGGCACCCTGCTACTTAGGTAGTTTTTATAGCTCTAGATTCTTTCCTAGGAAAAGAGAGAGGGCAAGGCCACACTCTTCATCTCAATGAACACAGGAAATACAAGTCCTTATTAAGAAGATCTTGGATGAACTTTTATTTGTGTGCGTGCACAATATTTGTAGCGTCGAATCAGGGATGGAGCAGTGGTTGTTGGGATAAATGGTGCACACTTAGTCCTAAACAATTTATTGCCACCAAAACAGAAGTCTTATAAGACTCCCTGCTTGCTACAAATGATTTATTGAGTAGTTCCTAGTGTAATGTACTTAAAAAAATAATTTATTTCAATCTGCCACAAAGGTTCATACCTGTAATCCCAGAACCCAAGAGGCACAGGCAGGAGGGTCTCACGTCTGGGGCCAGAAGGGGCTACAATGTTACACCCTGTCTCAAAAAGAAGGCTGAGAATGTAGTTCAGACATGGAGTACTTGCCTACCATATATATAGAGATTTCTGGGTTGAATCCGTAGTACTGCAATATGTATCTGTATGCATCTGTGTATATATGTGCAGATATGGGTATGCTTATGTGTGTATATGTTTATGTGTGTGAGCATGTCTATGAATGACTGATGTGTGTATTTGTGTATAGATGTGTGTCTGTGTGTATATTATATATGTATATAGATTCCATGATTTTCTAACTGGCTGAAAGTAACCTTTCAAGTGCTTAAAAAAGACTCAGGAGATTGTAACTGTGTAGTGGATGACTCTAAGTAGCCATCTTGGTGAAACTGTTTCCTCAAAGTAATGCTTGTATAATTGTAGGAGGTAAGAATTATTTGCAAAGGAGAGTGTTTACTCTCTTCCATAAATATGTTTTTAAAGCTAAACATGCAATATCATATCTGCATGGTATTATGTAGATACTATGTACATGTTAGATACATAATAGGTAATATCTTTTTTTTTAAAGATAATATGGCTATTGTCAGCTATCCAAAACCTGTCTTGGTAAAAAACAAAAACAACAAAACAACAACAGTAAAAAAAAAAAACCCTGAATCCAGGGGTTGGAAGATACTGGTACTTTCTATTTATTATTTAGCACTTGGAAAGAAAGATGTTTTGGGACCCCTACTTGTAACAGTACTTGCCAGTGGAGTAGGTGATGGATATTGTCAGTGGTGTTGGGTAACCCTTCTCCTCCTGTAAGTGAAGGCCAGCTGGGGTCCCATGAGAAGCTTCCATCCTTATACCAACCACAGGTGTGGCAAGTGCTGATCGCGTTCTTGGCACCTGCCATGTACTTCTCTATGCTCTTGTCGTGAGTTGACTCCCTCGGGCCTCACAGACGCTCTGGGATGTTGGGGTAGTTTCCCAAGCCTGTTTCACAGTTGAGAAGATGGATGCCTAGAAAAATGAAGGTCATAACACCAGCAAATGGAAGCTGACATTCAAACCCAAGCAGTGTCCATGTTTGCTTCCACAGCCCAGGAAAAACAGCCCAAGCTAGACGGGTAGCTCAATTGCACTGCCAATTGGTTCATACCAAAGTGGGAGGGGAAATGACATGTGCCCTGTGTCTATGGATAGCCAGCTGCTCTGCCTTTCAAGCCAGGCCTAGCCCTTTCCACGCTCACACACAGACCTTTCCAATACTTACTGTTCAGATGGAAGCAAAAGTGTTGATTGGTCTTTCTTGGATGGAGTGAGGGGAACAGACACAGACCCAAGGGCTCCATTTCCTTTCTCTCCACAAGGCAAGTGTTTGTTTAATAGGGAGATTATCATATTTATTGTGGAAGGGTGGGGCCAAGATTTAAAAGCTAAAAAACATGAGAAGAGGCCTATGGGCCAAAGAACATTTTCTAGATATGTCTTTTGACTACACTAATTGTTTCTTCTTCCTCTGTTGGCCATGTTACTATAGCATACCTCTCTCTCTCTTTCTCTCCCTACCCCCCAACCTCGTACTGTTTATATGCAATGGCTTTTTTGTTCGAGGCTAGTGTTCTACCAGTTGAGTCACAGCACCATTTCTGGCTTTTTAGTGGTTAATTGGAGATATGAGTCTCACAGCCTTTCTTGCCCAGGCTGGCTTCAAACCATAATCCTCAGATCTCAGTCTTCTGATTAACAAAGATTACAGGCATGAGCCACCGGGGCCCGCCAAAATTCAGCATTTTAAACACGTAATTTCTTTCTACATTATAAAAATGTTATTTGTTGGCATATAAATTTATCATGATTTCAATAGAAGTATCAGCAGAAATTTAGTATACAATGAAACTAGCATTTGGAATTAGCGACTAAAGTACATGATAAACAAGTGATATTGGTACAGCCAAGCTTAATCCCATACATGGAGAGTTTTCATGCATACTTCAGGTGCTAGTGGCTCCTGCCTGTAATCCTAGCTACTAAGGAGTCTGAGATGTGGGGATTGTGGTTTGCGCCAACCGAAGGGGACAAATCTGGGAGACTCTTATCTCCAGTTAACCAGCAAAAACACTGGAATTGATGCTGTGACTCAAGTTCTACAGCACCAGCCTTGAGCAGAATAGAGAAGAAAAGCTTGAAGCACTGAGCTCAGCCCTATACTGTGACAAACACAAACAAAAAAAGAATAATTTAATTGATAAGATGAAACCAAAAGTGCTGGAAGCCAAAGAAGAATTCTTTCATAACTCAAGAATAGGAAAGGCTTATAATTATCTTAAACCTGTGTGAAAGGAATCAGAGCTGGGCACTGGTGGCTCACACCTGTAATCCTAGCTACTCAGGATGCTGAGACCTGAAGATCACAATTGATGCCCACCCAGGCAGAAAAGTCATAAGACTCTTATCTCCAATAAACTACTAAAAAAAAAACTAAGTGGAGCTGTGGTTCAAGTGGTAGAGCACTAGCCTTGAGTAAAAAGAAGTTCAGGGATAGCACCCAGATCCTGAGTTCAAGCCCCAGGATCAGCACAAAGCAGAAAAAAAAACCTGAAACATAAAAATATTTTCCATATAACAAAAGCAGAAGAAATAAAATTACTATGCAAATAGTTGCATTTCTTGAGAAATTAATTTTTCTATCAAATAAAAAAAGAAGAGACCTCTCATAATAACTTAGGAAAGACATCAACTTCATAAAAACCATTTTCTCAATGTGAAAATATGATGAGATTATAAATGGCTGGAGGGGGAAGAGAGAGAAGAAGAGGAGAGAGAGGAGGAGGAGGAAGAAGATGACCACAACAACTAATAATACAGAGCATGGATCATGTCCAGAGCACACAGAAATCAAGCTGGAAAGCTTAGTAGCCAATCAATGATTGTACTGAATTATAATACAGAGGACTCTCAAATGATATAAATACTTCACTCTCAGGGAAGTGGAGTTTAATTTCCCTCCCCTGGAATGTGGACAAGACTTAGTGACCCTCATCCAAAGATAGTGTGACAGAGCAAAAGTGATTCCCTTCCACTAATGATACTTCCTGCTGGGATTTCATGAGATGGTGCCTGGCTTCTTTGGAGACCCTTTCCCTGTGTGCTTGCAAGAAAACATGATGGAATTCATGACAACTGAGGGACATTTTACAAAATACCTGAGAGGAATCTCCATAAAGGTCAACATCATGAGAAACAAGGAAATCCCAACAGATCACAACCAAAGAGGAGACGTGATATGCACATGCCTTAATTGGATCCTGGAACAGGAAAGAAGAAGGAGGAAGAGGAAGAGGAAGAAGAAAAAAGTAGAAGGAGGAGGGAGAGGGAGATGGGGAGGACCAAATGAAGACTATAGTTTAGGGAACAACGGAGCACCAAGGTTAAGTCTAATGTTCACAAGTTTGCTGTGGTTACAGAAGATGTGAACGTCACTGGAAGTGAGTGAATACACACTGGGACTCTGTTCCATCCTCAAGGTTTTTCTGTAACTCTAAAATGAGTCTAGAATGAAAGGTTTATGTTCTTAAATGCTCTTCTAACCAAATCCCAGTGCCTTTTGTGCTCTCTGTGGGTGGAGGGGGGTGGGTGAGACTCCAGCCCAGGGATGTGGCCAGAAGGGAACCCTACTGCATTGTTGGAGTGTAAACTTGTTCAACCACTTTGGAAAGCAGTATGGAGGTTCCTCAAAAGACTCCACATAGAACTCCCCTATGACCCAGCATTCCCACTTTGGGGCATTTACCCAAATGATCACAAACAAGGCCACACTAAAGCTACCAGCACAACTATGTTTATTGCAGAATTATTTACCATAGCTAAGATATGGAACCAACCCAGATGCCCCTCAGTAGATGAATGGATCAAGAAAATGTGGTATATATACACAGTGTAATTCCATGCCTCCATCAGAATGACATCGTCCCATTTGTTAAGAAATGGAAAGACTTGGAAAAAATTATATTAAGTGAAGTAAGCCAGGCCCAAAGAAACATAGGTCCCATGATTTCCCTTATTTGCAATAACTAGTATATGTCTGAGACAAGTAGAAAAGGTCAAAAGCGATGTACAGATGACCAAATAAGATGATGTTAAGCAAAATGAACCCCAAGATAGGGACACAAGTGGTTTTTTTCTTTCTTGCTATTGTTTCTAATGTATTTATAAGGTACCATATGATTTTGTTGTTGTTGCTGCTTTGTGTGTTTCTCTCCCATGGTAGAACTCCTGTTTTCACTGTATTTGATGTCAGTATAATTTGGGAAGGGGAAGGAAAAAACAAAATGTTTAAATAGGAATACAGGTTGACCATTGTGACAATGAGATGTACAAGACACTGTTGAACATCAAACTTTACAATTTAGGCGGGGAGAGTATAGTTGTGGAAATAGGAGGGAAGGGATGGTCGGGGGAAAACAAAGGAGTCAAGAATGCTTGATAAGAAATATACTCATTGCCTTGCTCACGTAACTGTAACCCTTTTGTACAGTATTTTCACAATAAAAAAATCATAAAAAAAGAAAAGAAAACTCCAGCCCTTCTACCTCATTGTGGGGCATGCTCTGCATAGCCAGGGTCTGGCCTCTCATTTTTGGAGTGCAATTGTGTTATCTTTTATCTCAGCTGCAAGAATCCATTTAGCTTTCCTGCTTCATTTCCATATGCTCACTGGAATGCTATTCAAGAAATATGCTCAGGGAGGAGAGGAGGAGGCAGTTTCTCAGGGCGTTTTAGCAATGTGAATGCTTTTGTATCTTCAGAAATTTAATTTTAAAAATGTCTTCTATTCCGTTGGTCTTCTTTGAAGCCCCTCTTCAGAATGCTAATTCTGTGCTGTTGTCACCTCTGAGGAAGGCTCATGTGCATTTGAGGTGGTGCTTCATTGGAAGTTTCTGAAGTCATGAATTTGCTCTCTTCAAATGAGTACTCCTTCACTTAACCTTCAGACATTTCACAAGATGGTTGATAACTTTGGGGAGGTTTAGCAATGTGTTAGGTAATTTGGCATTGTTAAGGTGGGATTGTTTTTTAACCCTTTGAGGTACATGGGGAGCAAAAAGAAGATCAGGATCCTGTGAAGGTATTTGTGGCTGCATTAAGATTCCTGAGCTGAGCTGGGCACTGGTGACTCATATCTGTAATCCTAGCTACTCAGGAGGCTGAGATCTGAGGATCGGTTCAAAGCCAGCCTATGCAGACTCTCTCTCCAGTAAACTACTCAAAAAAGCTGGAGATGGTGCTGTGGCTCAAGTGGTAGAGCACTAGCTTTGAGCACAAAGAGGCTCAGGGACAGTGCCCAGGCCTTGAGTTCAAGCCCCAGGACTGGCAAAAAAAAAAAAAAAGATTTTGAGCTGGGCACCAGTGGCTCATGCCTGTAATCCTAGCTACTCAGGAACCTGAGGTCTAAGGATCAAGGTTCAAAACCAGCCCAAGCAGGAAAGTCCATGAGACTCATATCTCCAGTTAACCAGCAGAAAACTAGAAGTGACACTGACACTCAAGTGGTAGAGCACTAGCTTTGAGCAAAAGAGCTCAGGGACAGCACCCAGGTCCTGAGTTCAAGCCCCACAACTGACAAGAAAGAAAGAAAGAGAGGGGGAAGGGAGGAGGGAGGGGAGAAAGAAAGAAGAAAGAGAAAGAGAGAAAGTGGGGAGAGAAAGAGAGGGACAGAGGGAGAGGGAGAGAAGAAGGGAGAGGGGGAAAGGGAAGGGGAGAGGAAGAGAAAAGATTCTTAAAGAAGTTTATTCTGGAGCCGGGGGCTCACACTTGTAATCCTAGCTACTCAGGAGACTAAAATCTGAAGATCCCATTTCAAAGCCAACCTCAAGCAGGAAAGTCCGTGAGTCTCTTATCTCCTATTAACCACCAGAAAACCAGAAGCGGTGCTGTGGCTCAAAGTGGTAGAGTGCTAGCTTTGAACAAAAAAGCTCAGGGACAATTCCCAGGCCCTGAGTTCAAGCCCCACAAAAAGAGGAGAAAAAAAGTTTGTTCTGGGCTATTTTTCTACCCTAGGAAAGGACTACACAAAAAGGTTGGTTTTGCATCTAACTCAAGGTGTCAGTTATATGTTTATGCATTTATTAAGCACTCTGTTTACAGGAAGTCTGTTTAGCCTTGTTTGCCTTTCTGAAGAGGCTGTCACTGATTTAATTCAGTTTCCAGTTGGGTCAGGTCACGTTAGTAACTATTCTTACAGAAACATGATTCTTATGTTAGAATTGGTGGTCTAGGAGGGGCCAACAGAGCCAAAAGTGTTACGCATCATAAAGAAAATGTGGTTTATATATACAATGAGATGTGACTCAAACTAAAAAAGGAGGAAGGGGAGGAAGAAGAGGTGGGAACATTACATTTGCAACATGGCTGAAGCTGGAAGCCATTATGTTTCATGAAATAAGGCAGACACAGAAGGGCAAAAAGACACATTGTCAGGTATAGAATCTAAAAAGGTCAAGTCCAGGAAAACAGAAAAATGCTGGTTACTAAGATCAGGGAGTTGGAGAAAGAGATGTTATACCAAGAGTACCAATTTCAGTTGTCTGGGATGAATAAATTCTAGAGATATAGCTGATGCTGGCATTCGTTAGTTCTACTAAACTCTAAACCTGAAATTTGTTGTGAGTAAATCTTACATGCTCTTATAAAAACTGATAAGTATGTGCACAATGCATGTGTCCATTGGCTTCACCGAAGTAACCATTTCATAATGGTATTTTTTATTACTGTATACCTTAAGTAGATACATTTATATATTGCATCTTTAAATATAAACATTTATTTGTTTGTTATTTGGTGGAAGTTGACTTTGAACTCAGTGTTTCATGCTTGTTGGGCTTGCTTTTTCAGCTGGCGCTCTACCGCTTGAGCTCTGCCTGCAGCCTAGATTTTTGCTGATTTTTTTGGGGGGGATCTGGTTGTGGGGCCTGAACTCTGGGCCTGGGCGCTGTCCCTCAGCTCTTCAGCTCAAGGCTAGCGCTCTACCACTTGAGCCACAACGCCACGTCTGGCTTTTTTCATTTTGCTTATGTGGTGCTGAGGAATCGAACCCAGGGCTTCAGGCATGCAAGGCAAGCGCTCTACCACTGAGCCATCTTCCCAGCCCCTTGCTGATTATTTTTGAGATGGAGCTTTCCCAACTCTTCTGCCTGGGCTGGCTTCTAACTGTGATCCTCCAGATTTCAGCCTCATGATTTGTTAAGAGTACAGACATGAGCCCCCTTAGAACCTGTCTTAGAATTTTTTTTGTCAGTTGTGGGGCTTGAACTCTGGGCTTGGGTGCTGTCCCTCAATTTTTTAATAGAAAAAAAGAAAGAAAAATAATTTTTAAGCATCCTTCTGACTAGGGATGTTGTTCAGAAGCAGAGCACTTAACTTCCCATATGTTAAGACCCTGAAAAGAAAAAGAAAAAGAAAAAATGCTGTCTGTCCCTCAAGTTTTGATTTTTGGCTTCCATAGATTTCCATTGTCAGCTTCTCATTCAGACACCAGCTCATCCCAGAGCCAGGGCAGGCTGCCTGGCTCTCTACCATATACTTTGCCAACAGGATCCCAAACTCTTCATTACTACAGATCTTACATTTTATTGGCTGTTAAAGATGTTGAGTAAATATCTTTTCAAATGATAAATAATTAAACACGTTCACCATCAACTCTTTCATTTTTAGCAAGTCCTTTCCTTTGTTTAATCGTTGTATCCCGCAAACGCCAGAGTGCTATTCCCTGTTTGCGTCCGTTTTGATCAATGACGTGGACACGCTCCATCGAATTCTAAGTGGAATCATGTCAGGAAGAGGCACCATCCTTGGCCTGTGTCTTCTCGCATTAGGTAATTTTCACTCATTTTATTTTATTAACTGGTTGTAGAGTGCCACCATGTCTAGCCCTTGTAGATGAGCCTAGTGAGAACTTAGCTTTCTGACTTCAATATAAAGCTTCATGCTTACTTTCTTTAGAGAGATACTTTTGATGGTTCAGGCTCAAGGGGAAGGGGCGGTAGGATTGGAAGAAGACTAGCTCGGTTAAGAAGCCACTGTGGTGGAACTGCTCTAATGTATTCCCTGGCCTCTAGTGTCCGTGGTCCTCAGCTCTGCATAAGGGATGGACAGCACAAAGCAGATGGCCTGTTTGTAAACTGGCCGTGAAGAGTATGACCATCAGGGGGCCAGAAGTCACATCTCCTGACCAGTATGTCTTCTGCCTGTAGGTCAGCCAGATCACAGGGCTGCTTAATAAGCAAGAGAGGGAAGGGTGAACAGGCTAGACCACATGCCTGTGTGTCCAGCTCCTGAGAGGCATGTGCCCGCTTTAGATTACAAGAGGGGGCAGGTGCGGGGCTGTGACCCACACCCACATCTGTCTGATTCCAAACCTGACACCACCAGGCTCTGCCTTGAAATGTCGATATGCCATCTTTTTTAATTTAGAAAGATAATCATTTATATTTATAGATTTACTGAACTATTTAGACAGATTCATAAGCCTAAAGGCCCAAATAGTTGAAAATAAATACCTTCTTTTGCACAGAATAGCTTACTATTCTAAAGTGCTTACTAACTAAAGTGTTTAGGGGCTGGGAAGGTGGCTCAGTAGTAGTGTGCTTGCCTTGCATGCATGAGGCCCTTAGCACATATAAGCAGGGGGAAAAAAAGCCAGAAGTGGTGCTGTGGCTCAAGTGGTAGAGAGCTAGGAGCTGAAGAGCTGAGGGACAGTGCTCAGGCCCAGAATTCAAGCCCCACGACCAACAACAACAACAAAAATCATTTGGGAGTTTGGAAGTAGTAACTTATTTTTGATTTAATTTAATTTTTGCAGAGCTGCGGACCAAATGCAGGGTCTTACATTTGCCAGCCAAATGCTTTTCCACTGAACTAAATCTCCAAACCCTTTAATTTTATTTAATTTTTGTCAGTTGTAAGGCCTGGACTCGGGGCCTGGGCACTGTCTCTGAGCTTCTTTTTGCTCAAAGCTAATGCTCTACCACTTGAGCCGCAGTGCCACTCGCCACTCCCGGCTTTTTCTGAGTAGTTTGTTGAAGATAAAAGTCTCACAATTTTGCTGCCTGGGCTGGCTTTGAACCAAGGCCCTCTGATCTCAGCCTCCTGAATACCTAGGATTACAGGCATGAGCCACCAGTGCCAGCTCTTAATTTTAACTGCCAAAGAAGACTGGCCCTTTCTGAGTGGAGCTTTCTGTGGCTGAGTGAAGTAACTGTTTCAGATCGGGGCTAAGGGCATCCTGTCACTTCACTTGGTGCTTGGTGTATGTCCTGAGATAGTTGAGGTTAGAGGAAGCCCGTGGGCCCTTGCTTTTCAGCAGGGCTTGGCCATCACAGCCCTAGGGGCGCCCTGTGCTTGGGTGCTGGGGCCTTTACGTGTCCTACTTTCTTTTTCAGCCTTGGCCCTGGCCATGCTGTTCACCTTCCGCTTCATCACCACTCTTCTGGTGCACATTGTCATTTCGCTGGTTATTTTGGGATTGCTATGTAAGTGTTTCTACCTGATTGCTATGTAAGTATTTCTACCTGACTGAGTTCTTCTTGAGGAAATGAAAAGCCTTTCCATGAAGTATAGAATTGCATCATTAAGCTGAGGATCTCCAAGTCAACCTGGGCAGGAAAGTCAGTGAGACCCTTCTTATCCTCCATTAACCACCAAAAAGCCACAAGTGGAACTGTGTGTGGTTCCAAGTGGTAGAGCACCAGCCTTGAGTGGAATGAAGAGCTGAAATGTTGACATGTTTTTAGCTAAATGGAGCCTTAGGGGTACCTCAGCCAGTCCTATTGGGGTACATATGAGAAAAGTCAGGCCCAGAGAGCCCTCAGGTCCCATGTTAGTCCATTTTCCATCACTGTGACCAATGCCTCAGAAGATCAACTTCAAACGAGGGGAGATTTAATTTGGAGCTCAGTCTCAGAGGTTTCAACCCATCATCACTCCACTCTTGTTTCTGGGCCTTTGGTTAGGCCATGTTCTTATGGCAGGAAGCATGTGGGAGAGGAAAGCTGTTCACTTTTTACAGCCAGGAAGCAGTGTGTCAGAGGATGGGGTCAGGGTCGCAAGGTACCTGTCAAGAATCCACCCAGTGGCCTTCTTTTTCCAACCAAGCCTGACCTTCTAAAGTTTACACCACCCCTCTGTAGCCCTGTAAGCAGAGGACCAAGCCTTTAATCCATGAACGTGAGGGAGAATATTTCAAACTCAAGCCATAATAGGCCCTGTGGTGGAGAACAGGGGCTATGACTTGTAAGGGTAGCGACCAACGCTGACCTTCCCTATAGTTACTGCTAAGCATCTGCAGTGTCAGGCTAGCCTCCAAATGGGGCTCTCATTTGCATGATTCCCAAGTGCTGATGGGTAAGGTTGTCATTGCACTTATTTGAACAATGTGGACTTTGGAAGCTAGCCTTCCTCTCACCATCCTGTCCATTCATACAGTTTTCTTCCTGCTCATACCCAGACCCCATCTGTATTAGGCTAGACCTCTATGTTCTGGAGTTACCTTCTTGGATCCCCCCAGAGACTGGCAGCCGTCCTAGGTGGGTCCGCTATAGTCTGTCCGAGGTCTCCTCAGCTCCTCCAGAGGGCAGCTGCTGACTATCAAGTCCTAGGAATTTTAGTCTTGCCTCCGGGGCAGGGTCATCTGGTTGACCTCCATGTGGGCTTCACCATGCAGGAATGGTGGTGTGGGGTTGGTTCCATGAGGATGTTTTTTCTTCTAGTTGTTTGTGGTGTCTTGTGGTGGCTGTATTATGACTATACCAATGACCCGAGCATAGAACTGGACACAGAAAGGGAGAATATGAAGTATGTGCTGGGCTTCGCGGTGGTGGCCACAGTTATCACGGTAAGAAATGCCATGTCATGAGTAGCCAGCCAAAGCGCTGATAGCCAAATCGTTGGGTTCTAGCCCCAAACAACTAGCACTGAATCTTCTTTCACCCCCAGAATATGCTAGCATCATTTGTTTGGTGCCTTCTATGGATTTCAGATGCCTCAATAGGAATAAATCAAAACTTGCATACACACACACACACACACACACACACACAAATATGATACAATGGTCTTTATCTCTTTCCATGTCATGTCTGCCATCTATTTCCCAGGGATTGATTTGTTAAATTTTTGCCCCTGTATAATTTTTAAACCCACAGGGCTGCAAGGTGGAGAGGGAGGGGGCAGACTTATGACCTATCCCATTTCCTGTTTGTGAGGAGTGGCGTGCTTTGCAGCCAATAGAGGCCGGCTCTCCTGCTGGTCTAGAACACACAGAGACCTTTGTTTCCAAGCTGGCCTAGGGCCGAATTGCTTTGGTTTCCACAGAACCTGTTGCCTCCTCTGTGAACTCTCTGGCTGAAAACAGGCAAACTCACAGCAGAGACTGGTTGGTAGGGGAGAGAGGTTGACAAGCATGACTCATTCTGGTCACTGTCTAGGTGACAATGAAACAAGCGTTTTAGAACCCAGGTTCAAACTCCAGGAATTCCCCAAGTCAGATCCAGCAAGCTCACCCTTGTATGCCCAATAAAGAGATTATGGTGAAGGGTAGCGTTATGAGTTGGCACAGGCAGCCGCCATGGGAAGACACCAGATCAGCCCATCTTTAGCTGTCTTTCAGGCTACAAACATGGGCTTCAGCTTTTATAGACAAAGAACTGGGGTCATGAGGGAGGGGAATGTTTAAATCTGTGAAACTCTTACCTCCAATTAACCACCAAAAAATAATCGGTAAAGCAGAAGTAGATCTATGGCTCAAATGAGAAAAAAACACCAGCCTTTAGCCTTGAGTTTGTAGCTCAAGGACAACACCCAGGCCCTGAGTTCAAGCTACTATACTAGAAAGAGAGAGATGGAGGAGTGGGGTAGGGAGGAAGGGAGGAAGGGAGAAGGAAAGGAAGGGAAGAAAGAGAAAAAAAGAAAAAGAAAGGAAGGATGAGAGAAAAGAAGAAAGGAAGAAAGAAAAGCAAGGAAGGAAGGAATAAGGGTGAGAGGGAGAGAGGGAAGGAAGGAGGGAGAAAGAAAGGGAGGGAGAGAGGAAGGGAAGGGAAAGAAAAGAAAAAAAGAACTTTCTTGACCCAAGGGACTGTCTTCTTATTTTCCTTCCTTTCTGACCAGACTATGAGCTCCTCTAGGAAGGGACAGGCCTTGCATAAGGCCTCACGTAGGAGACCAGCACATAGTAGGTGTTTCATTGGTGTGTGAGAATCTATCTGTTCAGTTACCTGAGAAGTTGTGAAAAGCTGTTCGCTAAATTGTCCGTGGAATAGTGGGGTTTGCTTTCAGCTCTACCCAGTCCAAGCTGTTCTGAAATGATTCACTCACGTTCCTTTCTCACCAGGCAGTTCTGCTCATCTTGATCTATGGCATCAGAAAGAGAATAAAATGGACAGTCGAGCTATTCCACATCACTCACCGAGCCCTCGGCGCCTCTCCTTTCCTCCTCTTCCAGCCACTGTGGACATTCACCATCCTTCTGTTCTTCTGGATCCTCTGGGTGGCTGTGCTGCTGAGCCTGGGCACTGCCGGTAAGGGACGGCGGGTGAAGTTCCACCCCATGAGAACCCTGTACACATGTGCATACACACACACACACACACACACACACACACACACACACACACACACACACACACACACCCCTTGTGCAGCCAGGGGCATCTGATGGACACGCATGGTGTTGAAGCTCTGGCACGAGGCGGAGCTGGAAATTCCTTTTGTTTATTTACTTTTCTATCAGCTTCAGAGTAGCTGGGATTGTGTTTTGTGAAAGAAGAATCCCACTAAGCACTGAGAGCTTTGGGAACCACGACAGCAGGGTACACCGCGGCTGATAGAAAGAAATGACCCAATGGCTCCAGGGTTCAGGGTAAGCTGAGGTCACGGGCCAGCCTTCATCAAATCAGTAGCGGGAGATGCAGAGCGCAGGAGATGCGGAGCCCTGGTGAGACTCTGTTAAGTTTGTGCCCAGCAAGGCCAGAATAAGTCTAAAGCCAGCGCATACAGGAGCTCAGGTCGCTTAGGTTCTGAGAAGACAATACTGTATCTATCCCCCAGCCTCCTGGCAGATCGAAGCACTGTTTCTCCACCAGGGGTATTCCAGAGTCAGTTTTGATGTATTATACAGTATAGATGATAGATTATACAACATAGATTATATTGTTACAGTATAGATTTGTAAGCCCCATCCCCACAGTCTAATTTGTTTCGTTTGGGAGTAGGACCAGATGAGCACACACACACACACACACACACACACACACACACACACACGCACACACACACACACACAGTGCAACCATATTCTAGAATATATACATAGTAATATATATATTACTATATAGTAATATATATATACATATTACTCCCTTCACAGAGAAGGTCCTACTATTAAAAGAAAAAACAAACAAACAAGAAAGCCAGTGGTTCAGGCCTATAATCCTAACTATTCAGAAGGCTAAGATATGAGGATTTCAGTTCAAAACAAACCAGGGCAGGAAAGTCTGTGAGACTCTTATCTCCAATTAACCACCCAAAAAGCTGGAAGTGGAGCTGTGGTTCAAGTAGTAGAGCTCCAGCCTTGAACAACACAGCTAAGGGAGAGTCCCTGAGTTCAAACCCTAGAACTGGCATGTATATACACACACACACACACACACACACACACACACACACACACGTAATTTCAGTGAACAACTTCCAAGGTTCTGTTACAAAGAAAAGAAGGAAGCAGACATTATAGGACAGCTGGGGGCTTCCACTGTGTACCATGGCGGTGTTGGCCAGTTTTCTAGCTACTGGCTTGATGCAATCTCCATCCTGGTCAGAAGCAGGAATGGGGCCTTGGCACATGGCAGACGCCAGCCTTTGTTGGCAGTGTCCTAGATTCTAACCTCGGCACTCAGCACCTTCTGCTATCCCTTTGGAACATGACAGAGTGGTGGTGCTTGTCTCCAGCTGTAGGTAGGTCACTTGTCAAGAGCCTCAGACCCTTTCTGCCCCCTCCCTTTCAGAGCCAGGTGCCAACCCTCTTTGCGCACAGGTTGGCTAGAAATCGACAGGAGACCAGACATACAGGAAGAGCCCAAAAAGGACTCAGTGGGAGAGGAGGTCGAGACAAGACCAGCGACAAAGAAGGGGTCCAGTCTTAAGAGTTTGGGGTGAAGTCAGAGAGAAACAGCCCCAAAACAGACCAGGTGCGGACAGAGACCTCTGCCCTCCTGGGGAAGCCCATTGTGGAAGCCAGATTGACACTGGCCTTGGGTGCCTGGACTCTACACACCTGCGGCCCTGCCTGGTGCACAGAAGCCCTTTGTTCTCCGAGGCCTTTCATCCAGTGCCAGAGTGGCTCAGCCCCAGGGCTGCACAGAGAGCGGCGGCCCTGCTGTGTGACCTTTCTCAGAAGCCCACACTGAGCTTGGGAACGGGTGTGGGGGTACGGCCCAAGACGTAGCAGCTGCGTATCTTCCTGCATGTCCTCTCCGCAGTGTGCCATCTTGTGCCTCTCAGTAGGTCAGTAAGTCCTGATGAGCTTTTTCATGGGTCAAATGGTTGAACTGATATTTTCATGTGGAAAAAAAAAACACCCCAAAACAAGAATTAGTGAACTTAGGTGGGCTGTGTGTGTCCCCGAGGAGCCATTTCTCCAGGGACTGTTGATGAGTATGTTAAGTAATTGATGTGATCTGCCTCCTTGGAGGTCTTTTCAGAAGAGCATTTCAAGGCCCTGGAACAATGGTGTTTTTTAGTTCACGTAGGACGTGTGTGCTGTCCTCAAAGTTGCAGTGACAATGACAAACACTGTTATGTCAGGTGCCGGGCATAGGACTCTGAGGTTGGAAGATTGTGGGTTTGAGGCCAGCCTGGTCTATAGAGCAAGTGCTGGACCAGCCTAGGCTCTATAGATAGCAAGAAAACCAAAACTCAAAGAAAACCAAACCAAACCAAAAGAGATCCAATGCAAGACAGTGAAAACTGTAGTAACACTGGAAATCCAGTAGGTGCTGCTGTTGAGCTGGAAAGCCCGGAGTTCAGGAAAGTGGTCAAGAAGCCCCAGAGTCTTGAGGGGTGGGATTTCCTGCAGGTCTGAGCTGTGGTTAGAAGAGGTGGACACAGGGATGGACAACCGGCATGCTTGGAACAGGCAGAGGGTCAGGCTTGGACAGGAGGCTGAAGGGTCAGGCAGAGGTTTCCTATCAAAGATCCAGGGGTCTGGGCTGCTGGGGCCTCCACAGATCACTCCTCTGTGCTTCCGGATTGACCTTTATGCAGTCCCTCCCAGATGGAGAGATTTGCCATGCAAATGAGAGGCCCTGAATGCTCTTTATCATAGGATCTAGTGCTGACCTCAGACTGTCCAGTACTTGCTTCTGCTTTCTGGGTTCTTCTCTGCTCTGCCCAACATAGTTGAGAACATAGTATAAATGACAATGACCATTTGTCCGGGGGAGGGGGGCGGGAGGCCGGGGAGGGAAGATTAGCAGAGATCTAGGAGATAATTGAAGTTATTTTACAAGACTGGGAGCTGGACCCTAACCCAGGAACAGAAAGAACGAAGATGGCACCTATCAGGCTGGAAACAGCCCTGGCCTTTCAGAAATTCAGGAGGAAATCCCATATGGGTATTTTTTGGGGGGGACAACTGTCATATTTTAAATAATGTATAAATAATATTCATAAATAGCAGTTAAAACCAAGAGATTAGAATGAGTGTGGGAAGAGAAGGAATCCAAGGATGGTCTGAAGCGTTTCAATGGTAGTATGCTCCAGTGAGCTCAGGGGTAGAGCACAAGGCCCTGAGGTGAGTCCTCAGCATTGAAAAACAACAACAAAGAATGCTATGGAGATGAGGAAAGAACATCAAAGGGGAGAAGAGTAACCGGTAGGTAGGAGGGGGAGGAGAGAGGTGTCCTGGAATCCAGGAGAAAGGTTTTCAGTTTAAATTTCAGTGCTAATGCACTGAATTTAGCAACCTGGATGACACAAAATGATTTCACAGCAGAAAGGAAAAGGATTGTGATGGCAGTAAGTTAGGAGAGGGTGGGAGGGAAAAAAATTAGAAGAAGCAAGCATAGACAATCTTGAAGAATTTGGCTATGAAGAAGAAAGAGACAAGAGGAAGATGCACGAGAGAGTCTAGAGCAGATTTTCCTTTTATATTGGAATAGTTAAGAACACCAAAGGGTACTGGTGGCTGGTACCTGTAAGTTAGCCACTCAGTAGGCTGAGGACTGCAGTTCAAAGCCAGCCTGGGCAGGAAACTCCATGAGACTCTTTTTTTCAATTAACCACCAGGAAACCAGAAGTGGCGCTGCTGCTCAAAGTGGTAGAGCACTAGCTTTGAGCTGAAGAGCTCAGAGCCAGCATCAGGGCCCAGAGGCCAAGCCCCACAACTGATCAAAAAAGGAAGGAGAGCTGTTGAAGACTAAATTCAGTGAAGGAGAGAGGGTAGAATCAGGGCTGGCTTCGGCATCACAGTTTGTCCTAAAGAGGTCAGCAGTGTGAGTAGATGCATCGATATAAGACAGAAGTGGGGAATGGGCACTAGCAGAGCTTTGCTCATTGCTACACTTTTCCCAGACTAATAGGAGGGAAGGCCATGGGCTGAGAGGGAGGGTGGGGAAGAATCTCGCCATGGCTGGAGGAGGTGGTTAGACCACCAGACCAATATGGCACCAGGAGTGTTATTAAACTTGCCCGTAGTGGCTTCACGGGTGGCACTTAGATCTACAGTGGGATGGCATCACCAAGAGACGGAACAGTAGGTACTGCTGCCCTTGGGTGACAGGTGAGGAAACATTGTAGGAGGTGTCAGGACTCGTTTGGGGTTGGTCAGCCATTGGGGAGCCGTGCAGGGATGTACAGTCTCGTGTGACTCTCAAGGCCAAGCTTACCTCTCACCCCCGCTCCAGTTCCCCATCTGCTTTCTTTACCTTTGCCATGGGAACGAGGGCCCAGATTTTCCCATGTGTTCCAATCTGAGCCTAAAATCAAATCTTCCCAACTCAATGCCCTTTCCACAACCATTCCCTAAGTTCCATCGTAATGACACCAGCGTCCCATAGATATGGCCATCGTTTACAGCCTCACCCAGTGGTTTGTTGAGAAGCTTGCCTGCACTAACCCAACCATCCAGGAGAGGGCGGTCGGTCGTGTGCACTCAGGCGAGCCTGCCCCACCCACAGAGGTTCTGAAAGGCTCAGACACCAGCTGTGTTCCTTCTGTTCCCAGGCTTCTACTCTGAAGCCACAGGCGCCTGATTCCTCAAGAATGTTTGCTTAAAGCAGTGGTTCTCAAGCGGGGATTTCCTCCCAGGTGGCATTTGGCAACATATGGAGATGTTTTGGGGTTTTATAACTGGTGTGTAGAAGCGAGAAATACTTCTAAACATCCTAACATGCTCAGGACAGCCGCCACACCCAACAACAGAAGTCTCCAGCCCCAAATGTTAGTTGGTACAATGAGAGAGTAAATTGGCCTGCCCTAAATAAAAATCTATAAACAGCCTGGTAAAACTGATAGACGATGGCTTCAACAAATATGCCCAAAGCCAACTGCAATCATTCAAAAATTACTTAAGGGATGCCAGTGGTTTCACGCCTGGAATCCTAGCTATTCAGGAGGCTGAGATCTGAGGTTTGAGGTTTGAGGCCAATGCCAGGCAGGAAAAGTGAGACTTTTATCTCCAGTTAGCCAGCAAAAAGCTAGAAGTGGAGCTATGTCTCAAGTGGTAGAGAGCTATCCTTGAACAACAACAACAAAAAGACTAAGTAACTTAGGGCCTGAGTTTAAGTTCCAATACCAGCACGAAAAGAAAAGAACTTGTAGGCTGTGCTTCTATGGTAAGTACCAAAAGGTTTTGAGGTCTAAGAGATTTTGTTGGGGTTTTTTGGTTGTTGTTTTTGTTATTGGTGTTTTGATCCTAACATCTCAGCCTCCTGAGTAGCTAGATCCACCAGTGCCCAGCTCTAAGTTGATCTGGACATCATTTCAGCTGCTCTACTGGTTAAACTCTTGCCAGAGGATGAGCAAATTTGTGTCATTCACCATAGGCAGCAACCGCCAGGAGAGGCTGTCCCTTCTTAATGTCCAAGGCTTTCTTACTGACCTTTTGTCTATCTGGCCTTGCAAAATTGTCATCCATTGCTGGGACTCATGGGCTTGTTCCCTGGCCCTGAGCACTTCCATGATTGAGTGACTAGTTCTCCAAACCCACTGGCCTGACCTTCCTAAACTTGCGTTCCATTTGGAAGCCCTGCCCCTTTGAGTTGGGAATGCTTATCTGAAACACATCCACGTTGGAAAAGCCTAAGCAGTTATCTGCACCTCACCTGAAGCAGATTGTCTTTCAAGCCAAAATGAGCTCAGCGTTCAATAGAATATTGACTTGTGTCTGTCAATCAAGCTGTTCCAATATTTATGTCTTACATTGTGACTCTTGTTTAGCAGAACACAGAGTGGAGAAGTGCGGAGCAGCCTTAGTCTAGAGGAAGTTTTATTCTCTAGTGTTATCTAGTGTGATCCTCCCCCTTCTTTTGTGCACAGACACCAGAATTACAAACTTAAAGTCAATTTATAGCTATGACACGTGATTAAATGATATTCATGCCACAGGTTTCACCCAAGTTCAAAGTGCACACTTTCTTCCTCTCTGCAATTTATTTGAAATGCAAAGCATAAGGTTATCTACAAATCAGATACACACCCCTATCTGCAGGGCAAATTCAAGGGCTTCTTTAGCTTAGATGGGAAAAGAGCAGGGTGTACTAACTTGAATGTTTGAACATAATTATCCTTCCCTGGCTGGCTAATGTTAAACACAGTACTATGCTCCTGAAATTTAGAAATAATAGGGCTGGAGATGTGGCCCAAATGATAAAGTGATTCTTTCTTAACATTTGCAAAACCCTGGGTTCAATCCCTAGTACAGAACAAAAGTTCAGTAGTAATAATAATTATTATTATTGATATTGCCCATAGAGGGATATTTCTGTGAGTTACTCTCTAAACTAAGTACTATCCTAGTAGTGTGTGTGTGTGTGTGTGTGTGTGTGTGTGTGTGTGTGTGTGTGTGTGTGTGTGTGTTGCTGATACTGGGGCTTGTACTCTGGGCCTGGGTGCTGTCCCTTAGCTTTTTCACTCAAAGCTGGCGCTTTATCATTTGAGCCACACCTCTGCTTTCAGCTTTTTGCTGGTTGATTGGAAATAAGCATCTCATGGACTTTCCTGTTCTAGCTGGATTGGGGCCATGATCCTCAGCTCTCAATCTCCTGAGTAGCATGAGCCATCAGAACCTGCATTTATCCTGGTAATTTTCATGCTCAGACTAGTAGACTACTATCATTGTCCTGTAGACAATGATACTAAAACTCCAAAATAACACATACTCCCTAGGAAGGACTTAAGCTGAGATCTGAAGAAAGATATTTGAAGTTTTAAATATACTAGAGGAGTTTGCTCTTGGAATGACATCTAAACTGAATTCCTTTCAGAGAACTGAAATCATCTGATTTACATACTCTGAATTTGGGGTGAATAATGGTCTTGATAGCTTTGTGTATTTTCCTCCATGAAACATGTTTGCATTGCATCACAAAGCGTGTGGTAGACAAACAGTGAGGTTTTAAGTCTAAGGTGCCCCTCCACCAACTATGAACACTGAGACTTGAGTTCCTTGGCTCTTCCCAAACTAAAGTTTCACATCTTCAAAGTGGAGTGAATTTCAGAGTATTAAGTTAGTCTGACTTTTCATCCCTGTGACAAAATACTTGACATAAACAATGTGAGGGCTAGGGGATCTCTCTTAGTGCATAGTTTCAGAGATTTCCACCTTTGATCTTTGGCTGTGTTGATTCTGAGCCTGTTCGGGTAAGGCAGAGAACAACGTGGCGGTGGAGCCTCTGGCTGAGACTGTTCACTTCATGACAGACAGGAAGCACAGAGAAGAAGGGATCTGGGGCAAGGTATAATGTTCCCAATCACCTATTTCCTCCAGTTGAGTCTCACTTCCCAAAATAGCGCCACCAGCTGGGGACAAATGGTTTGACACATGAGCCTGTGGGGGACATGTCAGATGCAAACCATGAGAGAGTATGTCAAGGATTTTACAAATTGCCGGTGACTTCGTTGCTGGGGTTATCATTGCTAGGCTCTCAGTTTTTGTGTTTTTTTGGGGGGGTGTCCGGTTGTGGGGCCTGAACTCTGGGCCTGGGCGATGTCCCTCAGGTCTTCAGCTCAAGGCTAGCGCTCTACCACTTGAGCCACAGCGCCACTTCCGGTGTTTTACTTTTTGCTTATGTGGTGCTGAGGAATCGAACCCAGGGCCTCAGGCATGCAAGGCAAGCGCTCTACCACTGTAGGCTCTCAGTTTTTACCTTTGGCTATGGAAATTTTAAATTATCTTGGGTCTTTCAAACTTGACTTTGGCAACTGTGTTTTGTGTGTTGCCGATCACCAGCTATGAAGAAAATGTGACTGTTTGAACTGTCTTCCGCATTAAGAGAACATAGGTGTTAACTAAAGCTTGTTTGTGTTTTAAACTTCAGGCACTGCCCAGGTTATTGAAGGTGGCCAAGTAGAATACAAGCCTCTTTGGGGTATTCGGTATATGTGGTGGTACCATTTAATCGGCCTCGTCTGGACCAGCGAATTCATCCTTGCCTGCCAGCAAATGATCATTGCAGGGACAGTGGCTACTTGTTACTTCAACAGGTGGGCACCAGCTTTCTTCCTGTTGCATTGTCAAAGTACTTTATGGTAAGGACTTCGAAAACAGTGGGAAGGTTTTGACCTGACTCTTTAAAAAAGGTTGACAAGAGGCAAACACTAAGCTAAAAATGGCACTAGATGCTCATTTGGGGGTAAGAAGAAATGTTATACCACAAATCTGTCACATTTCTAAGCCATTTGGCTTTAAGTCAGACAGTATAGAAAGAAGCCAAATAGCAAAGTGATTGTATTGCTTAGAACTGAAAAATTCCTGAAAGGAAGAGCTGAATTCCATAAATATCCATTCTTATTGACTGCAGATTTTTTTTTAAATTTTGCATTTATTTTGAATATACTTCAGTAAGTTCTGTCAACCATGGGTTCTTTTTTTTCTGTAAAATTAGGAGAATGTTTGCTTCAAAAATAATTTTAAACCCTAAAGGACCTGTGTATAACTACAAACTGTAATTTATGTCTGAAGAATTAAGCACTAGTAAATTAATGCTTCTGTGTTTATAACCTATTACCTTATTTAAAAAAACCTAATTGACCACACACACACACACACACACACACACACACACCCTGAGCCCTTGACTCTGTGTGTGTGACTTTCCACCAGACAGTGAGACTGAAGCCAGAAGAGCCGAGCCAGGACAATGACAGGGTTGGACTCCAAACAGGAAGTTTAGCCCCAGAAGGGTTGATCTTCTTCTAATCTCTCAGACTAAATGAGTAGATAAATAGGAGTTTTCATGGGGTAAGAAAGTCAACCCGGGATGATTTATGCCATCGTTGCTCCTGACAATAGAGACCATTGTGGGTTTTTAATATAGTGGTGAGATTTGAGGACTTCATCATTCAGGGCTCTTGCTCTTGACACTAAGAACCTCCCAGGTGCTGGGAGAGGGAGGAGAGGGGGAAGGGTGTTGCTTGCTCCTGAGTAGGAAGCAAAGATCATTCTGACTGAATTGGCCAGCAGGTGACACTTGTCTGACCGAGAGAATGGATGTGTGTTATCTTAGAACAACAAAAGCAAAGCCTTTTTAGCAGGGCTTTGATGTGGCATTCCAGTGAAGTCTGTGCATTCATCTGCTTATCCCCTCCCTGACTCTGCTTATCCCTGAAAGAAGGAAAGAGGAATGAGCACACAAGGACCGGGAGAACCCGAGAAACCATCGTAGATAGAGAATGATGAGAGCTGAAGGCAAGGTGGTCAGGGTGGCTGGCCCTACAAGAAAAACCCGGGAAGGCCTGTCAGCGTGTGCTGGAGGCATGAGGCGCAAGTGAGATGCACACTGACTATCGTCACAAAAACCCAGACAAAGCTCAGGATTTCAAGGGGGAAATGTATAGATGGCACCTGGGCTCTTCAGAGACCCAAACTCAAGAGGCACTAGACATGGAGGAGCCAACAAAGCTAAGGCTGAGAGCAAAGCTCTGTACCAAGCCAAGCAGAATGACCCAAGAGGGAGGATCCCTCCAACCCCCCCCCTCCCCACACATCCAAACCCCACATTCCACAGCTCAGCTCCTAGATAGAGCAGCCAGGTGAAAGGCTGGCTAGAAAATTCTTCTCAGAGCCCAGTGCCAGGGGCTTACGCCTGTAATCCCAACTACTCAGGCAGCTGAGATCTGAGAATCGTGGTTCAAAGCCAGCCTGGGCAGAAAAGTCCCCATGAGACTCCTCATCTCCAATTAACCACTCAAAAACCGGAAGTGATTCTGTGGCTCAAAGTGGTAGAGCTCTAGCCTTGGACAAAAGAGCTCAGGGACAGTGCCCAGGTCCTGAGTTCAGGCCCCATGACCAACTATATATATATACATTCTTCTCTCGAGAAAATGGCTAACACAAGTAAAGATCTACAAATAGTCCATATGCCACCCCTGCCAATGAAATCTATTTCCTGACCCCTAACCCAACAGTGAAATGCACCTAGCAGCCAGCAATTACCCAACCCCAGCATCCAAGGCTCTCCCACATTTCACTCACTAACTGCTGATTGTTAAAGATTTGAAGAAAATCACTGGTGAGAGAAAGAGAATAAAAATAACAAAAGGAATTTAGAAAAGACAGATACAATACAGAGCACACGAAACTACCGAAAGCATATGTGCATGCACACATACCCACACATACACACTTATAATTTCATCAGAAAGAACAAAGAAATGTTACACCCATAAGCTAATATCTCCCCATAAAAGGAATAGTAAATGAGTAAGAAAGAGCCCTCAATGATTTTAAAAAATTGTCTCCTAACCCTAAAACCCTAACCCTTCTCTGAAAGCTCAATGACCCTCACCTAGTATCAGGAACCCAATTTACCTAGTTTTCTCTCCTCTCCTCTCCTCCCCTCCCCTCCCCTCTCTTCCTCACCCTTCCCCTCTCCTCTTTTTGGTATGCAATACCAGACTTCAACTTGCTACTCTTCCACTGGGCTAAATCTCCACCCCCAAGATGTTTGGTTTTTTTGTTTGTTCATTTTGTTTTTGCTGATCCTGGGGTTTGTCCTAGGACCTGGGTGCTGTCTCTGAGCTCCTTTTACTCAAGGCCGGTGCTCTGTCACTTGAGCCACAACTCCACTTCCAGATTTTTTTGGTAGTTAATTGGAAATAAGAGTCTTGTGGACTTTTCTGCCCAGGCTAGCTTTGAATCGGGATCCTCAGACCTCAACCTCCCAAGTAGCTAGGATCACAGGCACAGAGCCTCCTGTGTCTGGCCCCCAAGATACTTTTTTAGAGGAATAAATTATGGTAGAAAGCTTCCCAGGATTGAGGGCATAAGTAAAGAGAAAAACTTGGAAAGTGGGGAAGGAAAAGAGATCAAATAGAAAAAAAATAAAGAAAGGAAAAAAGATCTCAGAACCAGAGAACCAGAAGCAGGATGCAATCTGACTTCCAATAGCAACTTCAAACTAGGAGAATACCACCGCAGCACTGTCAGCATGGTAGGGAAGACTGCTCCCAACATCGAATCCATACCTATTTCCACTGTCAATCAGGAATAAAGGAAAATAAAGTCCCAAAATATCTCCCTCTCCATCTTTTCACAAAAGAACTTTCTCCACTGAAACTTATGAGTAATTTTCAGTAAGGAGGCAAATATGAGTTTCCAAAACAAACAAAATGATGGTCTGTAGCACAGAAAAGAAGAGAAGAGAATTGCCAGGAAGGTCACCAAGTTGCAGAAGGAAGGAAGATTGGGGGAGGGGGGGAAGAGGGGAAGGGAGGAAAAGAGGAAGGAAGGGAGGAAGGGAGGAAAGGTGGAGGGAAAGAAACGAGGGTTGGAGGGAGGAGGGAAGGAAAGAAGGAAGGGAAGAGGGAGGGAGGGAAGAAGGGAAGAAGGAAGGAGGGAAGGAGGGAAGAAGGGAAGAAGGAAGGAAGGAAGGAAGGAAGGAAGGAAGGAAGGAAGGAAGGAAGGAAGGAAGGAATCCAGTCCAAAATGGAGCAGGAAGGCAGTGAGCTTCAGGAAGGCTATCTCCAAGAAAAGAAAAAGAAACTGAGAGAAGAAGAGATGTGTTTGAACATGTTGAGAAAAGACTTATGCTTTGGAGAGACAATCAGCAAAGGTCATAGAAAACAAAGCAAAGCAAATAAAAAATGTGTACTGATTATGAACTCCAAGACAAAACAAAAGCTGTCAAGGGAAGGAAAAAAAAACTTGGAATAAGTTACTTGGATCAGTTGTGAATACTCACAGTACACATTATTTATGTGCCAATAATATAAACACTAACCATAACTAAAATCTAATTAAGCTACTAATATAAACACTAAGCATACTAAAAACCTAATTAGATTGAGAAGAAAGGTAATGAGAAATGAGTATATGGGGTAGCAGTTCTGAGTGAATAAGGAAAAGGAAACTTGAGTCTCCATGATGAGGAGTCAGTGGACAATATCTTAAGGTTTAAGTCAGGAGGGGCTGAAAACACAGTTCAGTTGTGGTATAACACTTGTCTGGTGTGTACAAAGCTCTGGGTTCAATCTTCAGCACCACTACAATCGATCTAAAATGGATTTCCAGAAGAAATAGTTAAACCATTGTCTCCAGACAGAAGAATTGGGGATGGGTGAAGAAAACTGCCATTTTTGCTATTGACTGACCAGTACTATTGGGCTTTTAAAGTCACTTTATTGTTAGGATTAAAATTAATGAACTTAAAACACACGATGATTTCTTTTTAGTCATATAGTTCTTTTAAAAGGAATTTTAAGATGAGTAGATCCAAAGAATGTGATACCTATTCACAATGGAATTTTACACAGCCATTAGAAAGAATAATATCATGTCAGTTTCAGGGAAATGGATGGACCTAGAACAAATCATGTTAAGTGAGGTAAGGCAAGCTCAGAGAGACAAATGGCACATGTTTTCTCTCATATGCAAAACTAGTTCTAAAATACACTGGGTTATTATAAATTTACAGCTCTCTAGGTATTCACATGGAGACCAAAGGAAGATACGCTTAGGAGAGGAGCAGAAAGACTATGTCCCTCTGATCATATAAAAATGATCTTTATTGAAATGAATTACAAGAAATTGAAACAAGAGGTTTTTTTTCTTTGTTGCTCTTTTTGTTTCCTTTTTTGTCTTGTTTATTCATTTATCTGTCTTTGGGAAAGAAAGGGGGGCACAGAAATGGGGGGACAAAGGCTGAACAAATTCAGCAGCAGTACTCACTAGACACTATGTGAAAACTTGTGTTATGGGGATAGGAGGGAAAAACTGGGGAAAAGTGAGGGAAAAAATGTAACATTGTCGAAAAAGAAATGTACTTTTCTTCCTTTTTCGGTTGTGGGACTTGAGCTCGGAGCCTGAGCACTGTCCTTGAGCTCATTTTGCTCAAGACTAGTGCTCCACAGCACCATTTCTGGTTTTCTGGTGGTTTATTGGAGATATGAGTCTCATGGACTTTCCTGCTTGGGCTGGCTTTGAACAGTGATCCTCAGATTTCAGCCTCCTGAGTAGCTGGTATTACAGGCCTGAGACACCAGTGCACCGCAAGAAGTGAACTCTTTACCTGACTTATGTAACTGAAACCCCTCTGTACACCGCCTTTATAATAACATTTTTTTAATTTAAAGAAAGAAATTCCAGCCAGGTATTTGTTTTAATATGAAGATGATTTGGTCTTCCCTGTCCCCATCCCAAACTTGTCTGTCCATCACCCACTGGGTTAGTACCTCAACGCCCATTCTCTAAAACATGGTGGAGTACAGAGACCAGTAGCATTTTAAGCCTCCTGGAGGTAATCGCCTCTTCTCCGGGCAGGTTTTGCTGCTGGCAAGAGAGACAGAGCTGAGGGCAGCAGCTGCAAGTATAGCCAGGAGGGATGGCAGATGGCTGGTACTGGGGAATGTGTGTAGCAAAGGGTCTGCCAAGACAAGGTCTCACAGATCCTTCGCTTAGCCGTTTTGTTTTTTTTTTTTTTTCCTTGCAGGGTTGTGTCTGGTTTTGAGGGCAGGTATTGAGTGTCTCCTGGCCTCTGTGAGCTGGCTTGGGTTGAAAGAGCCTTCTTTGCTTTCTTTCTTTCTTTTTTAACGTTGTCTCTCATCATGTGATGACCCAGCTGCTGGAGCCTCTGTATCTTCTTCCAGCCAAGTGCTGCTGAGCATAGAGTCAGAAGGAAAGCAACCGTGCCTTGAAACCAGTTATCCCCCAGCAGTGAAACCTCAAAAACGGAATGTCTAACTCCAGACTTCAATACCTGGGGGGGGAACCCCCCCAACACCAAGGGCTCCCATTCACAGTGCCTGTGAATCTTTTCTTCCCTGCTTCCAGATGGAAAGCAGGTGTTTTTCTCTTCTCCCAATCTCTTGAGCACCAGGAATAAGTTCTGAGGCACATAAATCTCAATGGAAAAGTAAACATTCTTCCTTAAAATGAAGAAAGGAAAAAGATATGTCAGATTTTCCTGGCTGACACTCCTCATGTATCAGATCCAAATGAATTCCTATCAGCAATGGCTTCCCTGGCCCAAAATGTCCACAGCATCTTTTTTTTTGGGGGGGGTAGAGGGGATGAGGGACAACTGGGCTGCAGCTCTTCTGCTCCCTCAATTACTGTCCTGTTCTCTCTTTTTTTTTCTTCCTAATGATTTAAAGTAACAGCAAGATGCAGCCATTGCCAGCTCATGAGACATTGCTGGCTACGATTTTTTCTTCCTGAAAACCCAAGCTGTTGTCAAAACCTTAATTCACATGGACGTATGAGCAACCTGGGAAAGCTGTAGAGGAAAGCGGTCTTCGCTTGTAACCCAGGAAGTTGCTTCTCGGAAAGAGCTGCGTTTTCTGGAACTGGCATCAGAGGAGGGAATTCAGAGGGGTTACAACAGCTCTCCTCCTTTGTTTTATCTGCTAGGGTTGGGTAAGGGGGTGAGGGGAGGCTGTGCCCATTCAACTCTTTTGTCACTTCTGTTTCTCTGGGCAACTGACTTGAGCACATTCTTGGGTGCTGTGTCAAGTCATGGGGAGTCCCATGAATGATTCACACTGAAGCGACCTGTGATGAAATCAGTTGAATTTGCCGGAGCCCAGAGCTGTGCAGAAGTCAGACACCCTGGCTTCTGGGTTTCCTTTGAATTGGATCTCACTGCAGCCTTGTTGGCCACATCCTGGTCCTGCTCCTGTGATCTGATGATGCTTTTTATTATCAAGCTAATGCTGGCCATATTTCCCTTTGCTCCCATGTCATTCAAATAGTTGACTGTAAGAGAATTAAATTTAGGGAGATGGGATAAACAGACAACTGGATGTGCTGTAAAAGACACACTTGTTCATTTTTAACTCACCAGTATTTTTTATTTCTTTTTTACCCTCTGTTTGTGGCATTGAATGCCACCAAAAGGAATTAAATTAGCTACCACAGAGCAGATGAAGATCTTGCCAAGTGCTATTGCTTACTTGCTTGCTTTCCTTCTTCATTTCTGTCTTTCTTTATTTCCTTTCTTTTTTTCTTTTTCTTTCTCTCTCTCTTTCTTTTTGTTGGTCATGGGGCTTGAACTCTGGGCCTGGGTGCTGTTCCTCAGCTCTTCAGCTCAAGGTGAGTGCTCTACCACTTGAGCTACAGCACCACTTCCTGTTTTCTGGTGGTTATTTGGAGAAATGACTCTCAGACTTTCCTGCCTGGACTGGCTTTGAACCTTGATCCTCAGATCTCAGCCTCCTGACTAGCTAGGATTACAGGCCTGAGCCACCTGCTCCCAGCTTGCATTCCTACTTTCTAAGTCATTGGTGCATGGATGGTTTGTGCTGAAGAGGATTCTTGTTGCTTTCCGAGGTGGTTTTGAAACACTGTTTTCTTCTGTTCCCAGGAATAAGAACGACCCTCCTGACCATCCAATTCTTTCATCCCTCTCCATTCTTTTCTGCTACCACCAAGGAACTGTTGCCAAAGGATCTTTTTTAATCACTGTGACGAGGATTCCAAGGATGGTTTTCATGTACATGTGTAACACCCTGAAAGAAAAGGTAAGGGCAAGACCAATCACTGAGGAAATTAAGGGCTGAAAACTCAAAGGGGCCTGGGACTGGAGTGTGGCTGGTGGCTGGTAGTGGCCAATCAGAGGCCCCTGTGCTCCTCGGGCCATCCTGCCAGAAGGCCATGCTCCCAAGTTTTGGGTTTGATGATGGTCTAATTTTTTTTTTTTTTTTTGTCCAGTCGTGGGGCCTGAACTCTGGGCCTGGGCACTGTCCCTCAGCTCTTCAGCTCAAGGCTAGCGCTCTACCACTTGAGCCACAGCGCCACTTCCGGCTTTTTTCTTTTTGCTTATGTGGTGCTGAGGAATCGAACCCAGGGCCTCAGGCATGCAAGGCAAGCACTCTACCACTGAGCCACCTTCCCAGCCCCAGTCTAATTTGTTTTTGTTTTTGTTTTCCAGCAGGGGAACTGGAGGTAGTTGGGAGGGTACAAAGCCTATTTTCCTTCAAATTAAAGTGCAGATCAAATATAGCCAGACACTGGTGGCTTACACCTACAATCCTAGCTCCTCAGGAAGCTGAGAGCTGAGGATTGGGGTTCAAAGACAGCTGAGACTGAATCCATGAGCCTCTTAATCCATGAGCCAGTTAACCAGCAAGAGGCCACAAGTGGAGCTGTGGCTCACATGGTAAAGTGCCAGTCTTGAGTGAAAAAGCCAAGTGAGAGCATGAGGCCTTGGTTCAAGCCACAGTACTAGCACATCTCTCTCTCTCTCTCTCTCTCTCTCTCTCTCTCTCTCACACACACACACACACACACACACAATGTAGATCAAATGGGTTGGCTTCTGCAGGAGAAATGTAAACCAGTGTTTGTAACTATTTAGCATGCTTTATTTACAGTAGGAAAATACATTATAACATAGGAATGATCTTGGTTTCTGTTTCAATGCTGACATACCCACCTCCCCGCCCTTCCTGCTGCATTTTCTAAAGCATACTACAGGGAAGTAATGGGTGTGGGTGAGGAGGAAGGGTTGAAGAGAGAGAGGGAGGGAGGGAGGGAAAGAGAGAGGGAGGAAAGAGGAGAGGGAGGGTCAGAACTCTGTGTAAATGTGTTGGGGGGAAGGGAAGGTGCACACATGCTTTTTGAAATCAAGAAATGGGCAAGCTGACCTACATCTCAGCTCAAAGGACAGAGGACTGTAGGGCTTTTGTGTTGAGAATTTTCTCCTCCCTGGGTTTTATTTCCATGCACATTTGGTTCTGAATGCCAGTGGAAACCAGAACACCAGGAAAACAGCTGTTCTCATGGTATTTCTAGCCTGCCACACAAGGAAGCTTGGACTTCACCCAACTTTCCTGTTCTCACACATTGTTCATCTTTCCCCAATCCCGACATCAGGCTTCAAGACTTGATCCGAGTTTTCAGCAAGCTACCTGAGTCTAACCCTTGAGAGCCACTCACTTAATTCTATGTCCTTCGTAAATGGAGGACATCGGACACGTGGGCTTGTATTATGGTTAAGAATTATTTAGCTTTGCCCTTTTAGGCAGACATCTGAGTTGTTGGCATTTGAAAGTCTGCAATCAAGATTTGAGAGTAGCATGTCAATTAGAAAACGATGGACTGAATTTCACATGAAAATTACCTGGCTTCCATTTTTCTGAAATGCATGCTGAGCAGTTGCCTCTGATCGGAGAATATTTCCTTGTGTTTCTATCAAAGTCTCGCCTGGCTCCATTTTGATATTTGAAGACACATTGCTAGCTCTTCTGGGGGCAAATCTAGTTACTTCTGGCTCCTGAATTTTGGAGTCTTGGGAGACCTTCAGAAAGATTTCTTGAATGTCACAGCCTTTTATGTAAAATATAGTCGTGCATATGTACGTACACACAAACATACATATTCTGTTTTTGTGTGTGTTTATCTATATGAAGACATAGTTATGTATTAACTATTAACCCTATATTTATGTTTTAGTAGGCATATATTCATTTGTTAACATATGTATTAATGGTAGATTATCATAAATAAATCACCAGCTGGGAGCTAGCTATCCCTCTTCCAATGAGCCATGTTAAGCCTTTTGGGGAAGCAGCCTTCCATTACCCAGAAGAGAAGTTTCTAGAAGTCCCAAGGTCACTCTGACCAAGGTCTGAATGATTATTTTTCACCCCCTTTTCCATCCCAATTCCACATCAAAGCAGCCAGATCCTTTTTTTAATGATGACGCTGCTGGCAACTAGAGCCTTTCTTAGGTTAAAAAGAAAATAAAACAAATCTGCAGTGGCCTTACAGCCCGGTACCGTCTACACTGAAAACATTTTGCACAGCTCTGTGTGATCTTTCCTACACTAAATTGGCTCATTCAAAGCCTCTGCCAGGCCAAAGAGGATCCAGATCAAGTTTCATCCAACTGAATTAAGTCTGGGGCAAGAAAATGTCCATATAAGGCTGAGTTACTCCTGGGGTCCTTGCAGCACACTATTTTAGGATGGGTCGCAAGAAATGTTTCCTTCTCTGGGGCATGAGCAAGACAGAATGAGGTGCCCTTCCCCCAGGCCTTTTATTTAATTATTCACTTTTGAGTTATACACAAATCCTAGTTATATTTCCAAAGGCTGAATTGTTCCTTGAGATGTAGACCTTGAACGTTTCATAACAGGATTTCATTTCCCCCAAAGTCAAATTTGATTATTGATGTGGGCAGATACCCAGGGTCTGTGTTTTGTTGGTTGGTTGGTTGGTTTGTGTCCTTGGGATGTAAAATTTCCATGAACATAAACTTTGGGTTAAGAAGACAAAGTAAAGCTGAAAGCAACCTGGATGCCTGATAATGAGAAATTGACTCAATGGCACACATCTGCCAAAAATTATACTGTAGGACAATTAACTATTTTACTATGTGAAAATTAGTTATATGGTATTAGAATTATATGTATAATGAGTTGAAGAAAAGCAAACTGTGCCAGGGACAGTGTACAGTGTACATGCCTTTAATCTTAGCACCAAGGACACTGAGGCAGGAGGGTTGGGAATTCAAGAAGGCTGGGCTGAGCTACTCAGCAAGAACCTGTGTCCCAAATTTAAAAACAAAACAAAACAAAAAATCCTGCTAAGCGCCAACGGCTCTAGCCTATAATCCTATGTAATCCTAGCTACTCAAGAGACTGAGATCTGAAGGTCAAGATTCAAAGCTAGCCCAGGCAAGAAAGAGTATGAGACTCTTATCTCTAATCCCCAAAAAGCCAGAAGGGGAGCTGCGGCTCAAATGGTAGAATACCAACCTTGAGCAAAAAAAAAAAAAAAAAAAAGCTAAGGAACAATGCCAAGGTGCTGAGTTCAAGTCCCAGGATTGTCACACCAAATAAATAAAATAAAACCCCAAATTTACGAAGCGCAGTGTGCTGTTGGAGATACCACCCTCAGAGGCAGATGAAGAATGAGAGGCATGCTCTCAACTAGAGTCTGAATCTGCTGTTGTGTTCCCTTTCTGCTGTGGTTAACAATCCCCCACAACAGCTAAGCCCAGGAGAGGAATTTAGCTCTTTGTAATGATAGTCATTGAAAGCATGCACAAAACAGAGCTTCTCCCACTCGGAAGGAGAGCTCTCAGGATTCCCCAGGTGTGTCGGCTGGCAGATGGAAACAGTGGCCCCCTGGAAGCTGCCTGCTCACCTTCTCTCCTCTGTCCCTCCCTCTGTTCCTGTGGCCGTGGTCTGGATCTGATCCCACAGCAGAGCACATGGTCCAGGGCTGCATCCAGAGGCTGTTGCTCCTGTGGGTGTTGGTGTGTATCCAGATACTTGCTTCGTCTCAACCAGGTATGAGCCCTACCCTCTACCCCCAGAGCACCCCGGGGCAGCTGCTAGCTCTCAGGTCAGAGACTGGCAAATTCTTTTGTGAAAGGAAAAGAAAAAAAAAAAACAACACGTAAATCTGTTAGACTTTTAAGCCGTATACTCTCAATTGAATCCACTCAATCCTGCCGCCATCATTGTAGACAAAATTCTGCCAGTACAACTTCATTGATGGCTGCTGGCCTTCACAGGATTTCACATGTTAAGGTATCCTTTTGTTTCTTTCCCCAACCATTTTAAATTTGTAAAATAAAATCATTGGTAGCTACATCCATGATCTAAATGGATCACCCAGGCTGTGGTTTGCAGAACCTTAGGCTATTAGAGCTACTCTTAAAATTCTGAAAGAAATGTCATTCTCCTGTCCAAAGTAAAATAAATAAATAAGTAAATAAACCAAGCAAGCAAGCAAGCAAGCAAGCAAGCAAGCAAGCAGAGGGCGTCTTTAGAAACTCTGACATAATGAATATACATCCACTAAGAGTTCATTTTCATTGTCTTCAAAGGCCATAATTTTCCTGTTTTGGGGGGGTGGGGGTGGGAGAGAATTGCCTCTCTCATTTTTCTATATTTCACCAGCCTTTCCTTTTCAAGCTATAAATATTCCTTTAAAATCATAAACAGGATATCCTGCAATTGTTTGAACTTCAGATTGTTTTTTTTTTCCTCCCCTCTCCTGAATCTTCAAGTTGATGAAAATTTAAATACATGTTTTATTTTTCTGTCGATCATCTAGGAAAGTTTAATGGCCCATCCTCACATTTACACAATGCAGTGTTTTTGTTAGTCAGCGGGCTGTTTTATAATTTAAATGTTTTCAGAGGTCGCACTTAAGGGAAGTAGTTTTTATCATTGCCCATCTCCCTAATAAATGCACCAGTACAAGTAAAGGGGCTAATTATACCGTCCATGTTTAATGTCTTATAAGTAGTACTTATAAGAATACCTTTTATTATTCCAGAAAGAAAAGCTCAGCTCTATTTTTAAGGCTCTGAAGAATCTTGGAGTGTATTTCGGAGCATAGTTGGCTTTCACTTGGATCCCCTCAAGCTAAAACACAATTGTCGGCATGTCATGGCACTTTTTGGAGTGATGGGTCATAGAGCCAACACTTGTGAGATGCCCGGCACTCTCCTTAGAACTGAGTGCATAACTCTGGACATCATCTTACACCATTAAAATATTGGAGATGTAGTACAAAAACAGGTTGTATTTGCATGAAAAGTTGAGGCTAAGGGTCATTTAGACTCGAGAAAGAAGAAAGGCATAAGGCCATGGATGTGAATACGTTGGCCACATGGGCCTCTGAGACTCCTGGTTGTTATAGAATGTGAGTTCTTTCTGCATCCCTTCTTTCACTGGTGGTTTTCAAGCTGCCCATAGCAGCCCCTGGGGCATATTGCAGGCCCCTCCCCATCCAGAGGGGGAAGCCTGGAGTGAGGAGGAGCGAGGATGGGCTCTGGTTCCATCCGCTCCACCCCATCCTGCTAGTCAACCACAGCAGCTGCAATCATGCTTGGTTTGGGCCAGGCGTCTCCTGAAGGCTTCCTTTGACGACAGGTCTCTGCAGCTAAACATTTGGAAATTACTGTCTCCTGTTTTCACATTCACTCTTCTCAGTTATTCTGAAGGACATGTTTTTGGCTTTGTGAAATTGCGGGGGGGGGGGGGGGGGGGGGGGGGGGGGGGGGAAGGAGAAGGATGAGGGTGGGGGGGGGGGGGGAGGGAGGAGGCAAGTACTGGGACTTGAATGCAGTGCCTTTCCCTGTGGCTTGGCTTTTTCCCTACAAAGGTTGACTCTCTGCCACTTGAGCCATAGATACACCTCCAGCTTGTTTTTGCTAATTAGAGATAAGAGTCTCAAGCCTGCCTTCAGCTGGCTTCAAACTGTGATCTCATATCACAGCCTTCTGAGTAGCTAGGATTACAGGTGTGAGCCACCAGCACCTCACAAATTTGATTTGATGTAAACAGTAACATGCCACCTCACACCTGCAAACCTGGTCACTCAGGAGACTGAAATCTGAGGATCGTGATTTGAAGCCAACCCGGGGCAGAACAGTCCCTGAGACTCCTAAATCCAATTTAACCACCAAACCACCAGAAGTGGAGCTGTGGCAAAACCCTCAAGGGCAGCACCCAAGCCCTGAGTTCAAGCCCCAGGACTAACACACACACAAAAAAGTGTCACCTCCCTTCCTTTGCTATCAGTGTAAGCACAGGTCTTGGCTTCCTGTCTTCTCACAAACAACTAGCACTGGTCAGAAAGGCCCCACAGGGTGGTAGAATCGGGCACAGAGAAACACCTATTGCTTCCTGGGGAATATGCTCAGCTCTCCCCTCCCCCTGCTCCACAACCTGCCCTGCCTGCCAACTCTCCCGCTCCCCCGCTTCAGTGAGCATAATGTTGGTCTGTCTTCTGAGCCTTTGTGGCCGACTTGACTGTGTAAAATCTCAAAGCCTTCTCACTCTCCAGCCCTAGCAGCCAACTCCGTGTCAATGCTTCTCTTTCTCCCTGTCCCTCAATAGCAAAGGCGACCGGTGACTTTGGGTTCATCCCAAGCCAGTGACTTCCTCTCTCCCCCCAGAAGAGCGTGGATCTCAGGGAGGAATAACAAATAGAGCAAAAGCGCTCTGACTCCGAAAAACAAGGTCCTGAGGAAGAGGAAGTTCTATTGGTCACCGCCTTTGCCATAATAGGTAACCTTGTCATTGAGTGTCCACCCCGCCCTGCTGTGGCAGAGGTGGCTCTACTTCGTGCCCTCTCTCCCCCACCCCAGCTGGTGTAGCGCTATTCTGGGGCAGCCAGCTGATGTAGAGAGGCACACCCCTTGCGTGCGTGTTTAAGAAGAATACTCGCATGTGTGTCAATACGATCGTTGGCATGAAGGCTCATTTATAGCCAATCATAATCCCCGCCCACAGCCAGCTGTTTCGTGGCAAATGCTACCACTTCAGATAGAAAGGAATTAAGGCACCTCTTTGTCAGAGGCCCCAGACTGTCTGGGAGAAGACAAACGGAATCCTCCTGTTTCCTGGAGCCAGGCTCGGAAGCTGCTAGTGTATGACCAGGGCTTTGTGCAGCTTCGCTGGGAGCCTCTCAGGTGCTCCCACCTGCTGTGGCCTAGGCCCCAGGAGGGTGACACCCTCAGCTCTCGTCTGCGCATGGGCCTCTGGACTGAGGCCTGCAGGCTGCCGCCATCTTACACTGGACTGTCTGAAACCCTCAGAGTGACTTAGAAGTCCTGTACTTCTGGGAGGCACGATTCATATTTGTTAAATGAATGGTTGCTTTACTATGGGAAAGGGCGACAGGGGCACCGGGACAATCAGGCAACTCTCCTGGGAGACAAGGGAGCGTTCAGCAGGGGTGGCTTTGATTTGCTCCGAAATGTGCAGCCTTTGAAGATATGAACACTGTTTTTGTCTTGGGCCTTGACCACGTACTGATCTTCTGCTACTTGAGTGTGTTAACTGCCTGTGCTCCCTCAGAAATCCCCTGTATGGGTGTTCTTTTTCCAACTTGTGTGTGTGTGTGTGTGTGTGTGTGTGTGTGTGTGTGTATGCGCTCACCAGTTCTGGGGCCTGAACTCAGAGCCTGGGTGTTAACCCTGAGCTTTTTTTTTTTTTTTTCCCTCAAGTCTAGCCATAGGTCTACTTCCAGATTTTTGCTTGTTAATTGAACATTAGAGTCTTAAGAACTTTCCAGCCTGGGCTGGCTTTGAACCATTATCCTCAGATTTCAGCCTCCTGAGTAGCTAAAATTGCAGGTGTGAGCCGCCAGTTCTCAGCTTGGTTGTTTGTTTGCTTGCTTGCTCTTTTTCTTTTTTGTCAGCTGTGGGGCTTGAACTCAGGGTCTGGTTACTGTCCCTGAACTTTTCTTACCAAGGCTAGTGTTCTATCACTTGAGCCATAGCTCTACTTCTAATTTTCTGGTGGTTAGTTGGAGTTTTAGCGTCTCATAGACTTTCCTGCCAGGGCTGGCTTTGAACTGGGATCCTCAGATCTCAGCCTTCTAAGTAGCTAGGATTACAGGTGAGCTACCAGAACCCAGCTTTTTTTTTTTTAACCTAAAAACACTTGGGTTTTGAGAGGTAAAGTGGTAATTTTCCTGACATATACAGAGAAGAAAGTAACAGCTAACTTGCAAGTCTTTGCTTTTCCTCATCAAAGTTCCAAAGTATCAAGAGATACGAGAGTCAAACAGGGCTCACCTGTCTATGGGATTATGATAAATTAGAGGTAGGATTTTTTTTAAGCTCTTAGTTTTGACCTGGCATGTAATGGCACTTCCTAAACAAATGGAAAGTGTTATTATTATCATCATCTACCTACAGGGAAGTGTGTGAGCTCCGGGTTGCATCCTATAATACCTGAACTAGTGTCCACTCACCAGGCTATTCAGTAAACTCACGCAGTCAGTTGGCAGAGAATCAGTAGCTACTGGAATCTTCTCTCTTCCCTACCCCATCTTCACTCAGAGCCACCAAGCTGACCACCTGTTGGGCTAGCTGAGTTACTAAGCGCTCCATCTCTAGCAAGGCAAAGCAATAGGCAAGTCTTCCCAGCCACCAGGGGTCACGCAGGTCTAAAGCTAATACATGTTTTCAGGTTCCAGGGCCCCCACCACTCGCTTCTGCATCTAGCTTTCATTTTCTTTCTCCTCTCCCTATTTTCAACAACTAAGAGCAGGGGTGACATTACCCAGCAAAGGTAGCTGGGACTGTTTCCAATAGCAGTGGCTTGTGAGCCTGAGCTCCACACAGAACATGAAGAACCCCTGTGTAGTCTCTGTATCTTCCCAACATGATGTGCTCTGAGTACACTAGAAATAGTGGGGAGAGCCACTCATGGTTTTAACTTCCATCTAGGAGAGCCATCTTCAGAGCCAGGCGCTAGTGGCTCACATCTGTCATCCTTGCCACTTAGGAGGCTGAGATCTGAGGATCGCAGTTGGAAACTAG